TTCCACATACATCTGTTCATGATAGTATTAGCAGGATTGACAACTGCAGAATCCATGTGGAAACAATATCCTGTTTTGATATTGAGTTTGCCTTCAGTTGTGCTGTGTGACTCTACCATTGTGCTAAGTGGGAAAAATTTTGAACAAATATGGCAATTCTGGAATGTTATCCATGAGATGAACGTAACATCACTCTACCATTGCCATCAAGTCAGGAGATTAATCCTGTTTGAATGAAAACTGCATGAGGCAAGTCAGCAGCAGTACCAACGCATCCCTAAAATGAGGTGACCACCTCATGAAGGTGTATTAATTCTAATATTACTGAATTTTTGAAAAGCACACTTGCAAACTAAAAGACACTACAATAACAACAGCGTTGCTTCTGTAAGAACAGGGTGTTTGGAAAGAGACATCCATTCTGCAATATCGTCAGAGATGTTGCACTGCCTAGTTTGAGAATACAGTTTACGCTACTGAATTTTGAGCCCAGATGATCAGAATCCGAGGACTTACCTGAAGAGCAACAACCCTTTGCCTTTTCTCTTCCCTGAAAGTTTAAGCATTAAAAACCTGCTAGGTTACTTCTTCTTTACTTGCTGAGTCATCCCGAAGAAGATTTTGGTATCCACCTCACTGTTTCAAAAGCAAAGGCATCCTAGTTGAGGGGAATACAAGTTAGGATTAAGAACAACGTGAAGCTTATGAAGATAATGAGGGCTCAATATGACTGACCAAGTGCCTAGAGGAGTGTGACAGGTGCAGGGGCTGAGAGAGGGACTTAAGGATATTAGGAAAGAAAAGAGCGCATGAGAAAACATTGGGTAGAATAAAAGAAGACTCTAGTGACCCTACTCCAGAAACATTAACTCCACTTTCTCTCCACAGATGCGGCCAGACCTGCTGGGTTTTTACAGCAATTTCTGACTTTTTTTTGTTTGCAGATGCCAGAAATCAGAAAACAGTTTGTTTTTTTTTTGGCTTGTAAGGCATTTTTTTCTCCATTAGAAGGTTCAGCGAGACACCCCATGTGACAACAGTTTGTACAATTTTTTTGACTGCAGATCAACATTTGCAACAATCCATAAGTGATTCTTTCCTCCCTGAGTTTAATTGTCACTTGGCCAAAGTACTTTTAAGATGATACTGAGCAAAATCTTATAATTTCGCAGAATTTCTTCATTAGGTTTGTTTTGTAAGAAACTATTTGTCAATGAAAAAGACTAGTTGATTAGTTCTGAGTCATGCCAAATGCACTCCTATTTGATGGTGGGCAATTAAAGAATAAACTCTTTTTTTAAATTCAAACATAGGATGAGGGTGTCACTGGCTAGACCAATATTCTTTATCTTTATTCATTAACGGGATGAGGGCGTTGCTAGCTAGACAGCATTTATTGCCCAGAGGGCAGTTCAGAGTCAACCATCTTCGCTGTGGGTCTGGAGTCACATGTTGCCCAGACCAGGTAAGGACAGCAGTTTCCTTCCCTAAAGGACATTAGTGAACCAGATGGGTTTTTTCCAAACAATCGACAATGGATTCATGGGCATCATTAGATTCTTAATTCCAGATATTTTATTGAATTCAATTCCACCATCTGCCGTGGCAGAATTCGAACCCGGGTCCCCAGAAGATTACCTGGGTCTCTGAATTAACAGTCCGGCTATAATACCATGAGGCCATATCCTCCAGTTAATGGAGAGGCAGAGGCTCCACACGAATGGTGAAACAGTTTAATAACTAACTGGGAGTCAAAGCTCCATAAATATCCCCAATGTTAATGATGAAGGGAGACAGCGCAACAGTGCAAAGGATGAAGTTAAACCTTTCCCAGCCATCTTCAGCAAGAATTGCTGTTTTGATTTCCCATGATCACAGATGTCAATCTTCATCTAATTTGATTTACTCCTTGTGATGTAAAGAAGTACTGCTGCCACCGGATACTGAAAAAGCAGTGAGTCTTGACAAAATTCTAAAAGTAGGACTGAAGACTTGTTCTCTGGAGCTAATCAGGTCCCTAGCCAAGCAGATCCATTACAGCTACAATACTGCCAACCACCTGATGATGTGGAAAATTTCCCAGGTAGGTAATGTCCACAAAGGCAGGGCAGTTTCAATCTTACCAGTTACCACCTCATCAATCTACTTTGGCCATCAGCAAATAATGAAAGAAGATTGTCAACAAATGCTTACAAGTAGCATAAACTCTGCAATAACCCTATTAAATGATGCTTCATTTAGATTCTTCTAGAATGACTCATTTCCTGTCCCAATTACATCCTCAGTCTACACATGGACAAGAGTTAAAATAGATGTGAGGTGAAGTGACTGTCGGTGACATTAAAGCAGCATTTGGCAGTTTGACATCAAGAAGCTTTAACAAAACTGGAGTCAATGGCAATTGAGTAGAATGCTCTGTTTGCACTCCTTGCCGAGCAGAATGAGTGTTAGTTGTCATTATTGGAGGCCAGTCATCTCAGTCCAAGAGCATTATTGCAGGGGTTCCTCAGGATAGTTTCCTAGGCTCAACCATCTTCAAATCCTTCTTCAGTGACTTTCCTTCCATCATGTGGTCAGAAGTGGGGATGTTTGGTTATATTTGAACAATTGATCAGACACTGAAGCAGTATATGTCTGTGTGCATCAAGACCTGGACTACATTTTAGGCTGGGGCTGAATAATATTTATTACACAAATCAGGCAATGACCATCTCTGACGAGGGGTATATGACCATTTCCTCTTGACATTCAAAGGCCTTTGATTCCTGAGTATGCCACTATGCATATCCTTGGGGTTATCATTGATCAGAAACTGAACCAGTCATATAAATACTGTGACTACACAGACACATCAGCAGTTGGGATTTCTGGGGCAAGTAACTCCCCCAAAACCTGACCACCATCTAGAAGGCACAAACTAGGAGTTTGTTGGAACATTCTCCATTTGCCTGAATGAGTGCAGTGGCAACAACGCTTGAAGCCTGCCTATATCCAGTACAAAGCAGTCTACTGAATTGGCACCCCATTCACCACCTTTTAAATACTTACTCCCCACACACCAATGCATGGTGGCAGCAATTGTGTAACATATACAAGATGCTTTGCAGCAACTCATGAAAACTTCTCCAGCGCCTGTTTTCAAACTTGGACTCTTGAAGTGTGATAACATTTAAGGCTATGGGCTTAGTGTGGGAAATTGGAACTACTGTAGGTAGTAGCATTTTTTTTTGGCAGTGCAGACTTAATAGGCCGAAGGGCCTCTTCTGTTCGGTATGATTCTATGAATCTCTACCACCTGGAAGGAAAAGTCTAGCAGGTGCAGGGGTCCTGTTTCCGTGCAGGGACCCTGTTCCCATGCAGGTTCCTGATTTGGAACTACATCACTATTTCTTTGTGCTTGCTCACTCAAAGTCCTTCGTTCCCTATACAAACTGCACTATCAGAGCTCTTTATCAGAGCTGAAGTCAAGTGTCCACTTCGGCTCTGAAGAGTCATCTAAATTCGAAATGTTAGCTTACTCTCTCTCCACGGATGCTGCCTGACCTGCTGTGATCTCCAGCAGTTGTTGTTTTCCGGAGAAATTTAGGCATTCGTGCAGCTAAGTGTACCTTCACGTGAATCAGAAAGTTGTGGCCCTGAAGACACATTCTACACTGGTACTTTTTAGTGTAATCCTGAAGAAATGTACTGTCAGAGGTGCCATCTTTTGAATAGGATGTTACACCAAAGTTCTTCCTGTCTTCTCAGGTGGACTTAAGATCTGGTTCATTCAAAGACAAACAGGAGAGTCCTCCCTATGATGACAAATACATCACCCTCAACCAATGTCACTAATGTGGAGATGCTGGTATTGGACTAGGGTGGACAAAGTCACAAGTCCACTTCACCTGATGAAGGAGCAGCGTTCCATAAGCTTGTGATTTTAATTAAATCTGTTGGATTATAGCCTGGTGTTGTGACTTTTGACAATGTCATTAAAATAGATTATTGACCGTGGATTTTAATCTAAATGGGTCTACTCTTCAGAAGCACTTAGTTGTAAAAAGTTGGAAATTTCCTGAAGGTAGTCCATAAATGCACGTTACTTAGGTTTCCTTTCTTAGGTTTATTTTGAGGTTACTTATTATAAAATATGATTGGGTTCCTATTTAAATCAAGGAGATGAAATGTTGTACTGCCTTTGTTTAAAATTGTTTGTTTACAAATAATGCTCACCAGGTTTTGACCTTTTCAAATGGAGCATACCTTGGGTCTGTTAACTGCCCCATTTTATTAACCAAAATTCATTAATATCTTTTATACTGTGAAAACCCCTGTAAATATTGGTGCATTCCTGGATGCTGCTTGATCTAAAACCCCGGCGCTAATGCTAGCAATCTGCAAGTGTATTCTGCTGTCACTGCGAAACATGTATGTTTGTATTGTAACAGAAATATTGTGTTTTTGGAATGTCAATGTAACAATGCAAGCACAGAAACTGAGATTGTGGATAGTGTTTGTTTGTAGTTACTCTGGCTGTCCCTTGCAGGCCTTGGTTTTGGAAACCAGTGCTGTATGTTGTTTGAGTTTCCCTTCAGTAAATGAGCTGTCAGTCAATTTTCGCTTTAAACAAAGTGAGCATCAGTTGACTTCACCTCTCGTTGGACTTGCTGCTTTCAGGATGATTTCCCCTTTAAGATATGGACAGTGTATCATTCAAGCTGCCCTGTCACTAACACACTGCAGGTTCCACCTACTGGCTAACTGGGGCAGCCACTCTGGAGTTGGAGCCGTGGAGGAAACATTCACAGCTCCCCTCTTTTTTTTTCTCCTTGAGAAAACAACAGGGTTCTGCAATCCCCACACAGTGGAAAGCATGGGCAAGCACCACATATTAAAAGGTCAGTCTTCCAGAGATCTAAATTCTGCACTGGCTTACAAAAAAAGATGCTTTGCTAACATGATCAGTAAGTGTCCCAGTTGTTGTCTGGTAACATTGCTTTGTGTTGTGGGTGTTACAGGATTTGACTGGCACAGATTGGAAATGGCTGGACTGCAGGAATTACGAATGACAGAGGAGAAGCCTCTGCTGCGGGAGCAGATGTCAGTGGTGAGTCGGTATAAGATATGATTTAAAAACAAACGTCTCAAGACCCTTTGGGTCAGCTTATTGAGATCGTTTGCTTGTAGCATCCTGTTTCAACAACATTTATTGTATTGAAAACCTTTTCCCTAGCGCTTCTCACTGCTTTTCTATTTCTTAATTATAACACTCTCGCATCTAATTAATGCAATTCCACATCAATTCCTCTGTTTCAAATATTTTGCTTTAATGTTGCCCTAGTTTCTGTTCATGTTTGCAGTATTGTGAACTGAGTGACACCCTGCCTTACCCACACACCCAAACCACCCTGCTGTTTCCCCAATCTCTGCGTCTGCCTCTGCCTCTGTCTCTGTCTCACTCACTCACTCTCTGTCTCTCAAATGCACACACACACAAACTTCCTAAAATACTCTCAAATAAGAATAAATCGGGCCTCTACTGGTTTAACTTACTTCAATAGAGGCAATGATGGGGTTGGCCTTGTGGCCTGTAAATAAAGGGAAGAGAGGAAACAAAAGTCTGAGCTGTTTCTATTTGTGGTCCAGCAATCCCGAGATGAATGAATGTCTGGTATGAGCCCAATTGTGCTTTGCTGTGACTGGCACTTTCTTGATCAAATAATGTGACAACGTAGTGTTTCTGTTTCTGCATTAGTAATCCAGAGCCCCGCACTAGCAGTTGCTAAAATAATTCAGATCTCGCTCTTCTAGATTGAGGAATTCATTTCTATTTTTATTTAAAGCTGCAAACCAGTGTCTGCTATGAATTTAATATTAAAATGTGATAGACACTGTTGGATTGTTATCCAATTGGCTCACTTTTTTGTCTTCTAGTGAAAGTGAGTTCAAACTGGCTAATGTGTGACTCTGATGTGGTAGATTCTTTATTGCTCTCTAAAATGACTGAGCACATTCATGGGGCAAAACATAAATTTTGGTAGCTATTCAGTTGCACATATTATCATCATTCATCTCCCTACAATGTGGGAGCAGGCACTTCAGCCCAACAAGTCCACACTGACCCTCGGAGCATTCCACCCAGACTCATTCCCCCTATAACACATCCATGAAGACGAGGGGCAATTTAGCACGGCCAATCCACCCAACCTGGATTGTGGGAGGAAACCAGAGCACCCAGAGGAAACCCATGCAGACACAGGGAGAATGTGCAAACTCCGCACACAGTTGCCCAATGGTGGGGTTGAACCTGGGTCCCTGGTGCTGTGAAGCAGCAGTGCTAACCACTGAGCTACCATGTCACTGCCCCTGTCAGCACAAGGCTTTACATTTTCAAGCACTGTTGGAGAGTGGGATAGGCTGCTTTATTTTAAGTAGAATTCTGATTGATACTAAAATCTCAAGAGTCAGAAATGAACAGTTCACATTTGAGCTTATGATGAGTGAGGGTCATTAACAAAGCATAGGAATGGTGGAAATCTCAAAAAGCTAGCATACAAGTTCAGCAAGTAATAAAGAAGGTACATGGAATGTCGGCTTTTATTCCAAAGGGAATTGTGTACTGAAATAAGGAAATTTTTTGCTAAAACTAGACAAGGCGCTAGTCAGACCACAGCTGGAATAATTTTGGGCCCCTTATTTAAGGAAAGATATATATTGGCATTGGAGGCAGTCCTAAGAAGTTTTATTAGTCTAATCCAGGTATGGACAGACTGTTCGACTAATGAGGGGAAATCGAGTAGGTTGGGCCTGTTCTCATTGGAGTTTAGAAAGTAAATGCAAAAATGTTGTGTCCCCATATGGGATAGTCTCGGACTAGAAAGCATAAATTCAGAATAATCTCATCCATTTAAGATAGAGGTGAGGAGAAATTTCATCTCAGTAGTGAATGGAATTCGTTCTTGCAGAGGGCTGGGTCATTTTAAGTATATTCAAGGGTGTGAGAGACAGATTTTTAATTAGTAAGGGAGCCCAGGGTTATGGGGCAAAACCATAGGAAAATGGAGTTGCGAATTCAGTGCCAAACTCTCTCTCAACTCCTTTTTGGCTGTATGTAGAAGCCTTAACGTGCATTATGGAAGTCACAAATTGCTTGGCTAAATGTAAATACTCTTAAAGGGAACATAAAATTGGTATAACTGTATGATTTGAAGTTTTCAAAATCCTTGCTCTTTAACCTTAAATGCTGTGGCTGCCGGTGAGAGTTTAAACAAACTGCTACCTACTGAACTGTTTTGTTTGACAAAAATTGATGAGAAAAGTAGCGTCTGGGCATGGAGTTTCACTAGAATTCTTTGGTATTTTCCCAAAGGCTTTCATTATGCCATTATGCAAGTATGTTTGTTCGGCTGAAATTCATATCTCAGCGTGGGTTTCTGCATTCATTGTTGGATTGAAAGCTTCTTTCTGTTCTTGAGCTCTTTGTCCGAAGGCAGGTCCAACTTCCAACGTAGGTAAGGCGAAGTGGCAAGTCCAAAATCCAGCCCAGATAGAATGGAGATTGAACCCCATACTGTTAGTACCAATTTGATCAACACCAGCATTCCAACAAACTGCGCCAACCAGCCCTTGGAAGTAAGAGTTGCCACAGCAACAAAGACCTTTAATATGCAATGTGTGGTTATTAATGGGAAGAGGCTCCAATTACTTTTCATCATATGCCTGGCTAGGAATCTCTCACCCACTCTTGCTGCCTGCCATTGGCATATTTTGGAATGACTTACACGTTGATACTTAAGCTGTTTAGCTTTGCAATGGAAGCATTTCTCCAGGCCATCAGGTCCTGGAGTGGGAATTGGGTCTGAACCTCTGTCTCAAACGCAAGACTAGTATCCACTACACGTGACTTCTGATAGTTTAAGGAGCTTATTAAAGGATTAGTTATCTTAAGGGTTCTGAATAGAAATATATTTTTCTAAAAGATTAACCACTTGATATTTTAAATCTTTCTTTGTAGTTTAATCTCGTGTGCATGAATTGTGATCTGTACATGGCTGTTGAAGACCTGGCCACACTGGATAATGGGTGACTGGTTATGGAGTTGACATGAAACCTGGAAAAGGTCAAGTTGGTATAGACAGCATGAATGACCATGAATGTGAATGGGGGCATGAGTTGGCATTGAGGTGGCATGGAGAGTATGAGGATCCATAGAAGTGGGTAAGGATTAGAGGGTCTAACGAAGTCTCAGATAACTTAAACGTGCCTTCTACCCAACTCATCTCAGTACTCACTGGCTACCATGGTTGCCTCTGTCATATTCAATCAGTTTACAGCCTTGTTGTCACATCTGGGTCAACACTCTTAGGATTGAGATTAGACTAAATATTTACACTAAAAAAACACTAGTACTAGCCCAGGCTAAATGAGCCATAGTCTCTTTTTGTTCTGCAATTTTGTTGATTCATCTTTACTACTGAAAGTGATACTGATTTCATATCTACCTGTAGTGATGTAATAGAGTATGCTATTTGACAATTGCTTTAGAACAAGTTGACCACTTCCCCCGTCTCTACAAAAAAGGGAATGGATAGCAGAATATCTATAGAATAAAACCTAATGAAAGAAGAAAATATAGACATAATAAATAGTTGGTTTAGTTGAGATTTTCTGAGGTGTTCTCTTCCTGGCCAAGGAAGGAGAACAAAGGGCTACATTTTAATTTTCTCACAGTACAAAAATAGACCTGTCTTTCAACAAATGATGAGCAGGTATCACTAAAACCAAGAAAATAATCTCATTGAAATGCTGAGATGAAACAGCAAATATTTAAGAGCCGAGCTGAAGCTGTTTGTTGTCCTTTGGTCTCCAGAAATTTTTTTGTGTTCTCCCACACATTCCTTTCGTAGTATAAATACCATGTTCTTTCTAATAATAAAGGTTAAGGCAGCACCTTGTCATTTTGAAGGAATCTTTCCCTCAGCAATTGCTGTTGCCAAAATCAAAGGCCAGGATTTTATGTTCACTCAGTGTGATGACCCTCCCTGCAAGACAACACTTGTGGTATGCTCATTGTAAAATTTATCCAGAACAACAATATTGCTGCTCTGTCTGTCTGTTTGTCTATCTAAATCTTGGCCCTGAAATTCTTGTGTCAGTGTGCCAAGACTGCAGTATAATCTTGGTTGGTGAGTGTGCAGTATGGACTAGGATTCTGCAATATTGATCCCTGTCCATTTCTTCCATGCACATAGTTTTTAAAGGGATAGGAGTTAACAGAGTTCATTTGCTTCCTTTTTAGTTTAAGAAAATGGAGTGAGAGTTTAAGCACATGATGAACTATAAGACGGTGCACCGCAACTAATTTTCTGTCATTTGTCATCAACAAAGTAGTTTAATTTCTGTTAAAATTGAGGGCAGAAACTGAAAAGACAATCCTTACTAAACTGCATTTGTTAAATCTTTTCTTCTGTTTTAATTTGGATCTTCTTGTTCAAGAGCAGCTGACAACCTTCATAGTGCTTAGTTCTGAATATCTGGACTGCAGGATCAAGAGCGCAGTGTTTCTAACTTTTTTTTTTAGCATCCACATCCTTTTGGTAATGTGGTGACCAGAACTGTACGCAGTATTCCAAATGTGGTCGAACCAAAGTCCTATACAACTGTAACATGACCTGCCAACTCTTGTACCCAATACCCTGTCCGATGAATGAAAGCATGCCGTATGCCGCCCTGACCACTCTATCCACCTGCGTTGCCACCTTCAGGGTACAATGGACCTGAACACCTGTTTGACACAGTTCTATAAAGACGATATTCTGATCAGAATCTTACTTTTTTTAAAGCTAAATATGAATTGCATTGCTTTTGGTTTTTTTTTTGATGGTTTATCACCAGCAGGCCTAGCGAGTTTTCTTGTATCTTCCCAATTAAATCACGATGTCTTGATGAGTTTCTCATGTCCGATTTCCACTCCATCTTGCCACGTGCTGTCCCCAGAAGAAGTCACCATTCAGTGAATATCTTGCTGAATGACTGGTATCCCTTGCACTCAAGTCATCTTTGAAAGCTCATGGTACCTGGATGAGCACTAAGTCTGTGTTTCCCTGG